TCAGAATTATTGCGGTTTTCTTGAACACAAGTTCAAAGCTCAGCGCTTTACTTTTCCATTTTATTAAATGTACTGCTCATAAAAGGGGAGACGGGCACGAGAACCGTAAATTGCCGCTTCGTCGCGCGCGGCAATGGGCGCGACGTTTCCTCAATTTGCACTACCCTTTCGATTGGAGCATCGGATTTCATGTAGACAAGGACATGGTGGACACTTATATCCTTTTGGTCATACATTGTCTATTCTTGACCAATACCACCCAAAATCGTCGTCATTAGCGAGCGCGACGTCGCACGCGACGCCCACCATCGCGGCGAATTACGATTCTCTTGTCACATACCCCTCATGAAATAGGTCAAACTCAGCGAATACTTTTGCTTACCTTTCCACAACGATGGCAATGAATCCGCCGATCTATAGGCGAAGCAAACTCAGCCTGACATGCCTTCGCACTGCAGTGGGTTGCATCTCTCAGTGACTGCCATCGTAGCGGGAATCGCAACAAGGGGTCATCCTACAAATGAACATTCCACTCAACAGAATTTGTACCTTGTAATGCTGGTCGTAGTCAGATTTGGTAATAACGGATGAAGTAAAAAAATAGTAGAAACTGACCGAGAGTTGGTCGTAAACGCCGCTTTCACGTGACGGTGGTCGTTGATCGTTAGAGGTAGAGGCCCCTCGTTCTTCGGACTGACCCGTTCCGCTGCTGTGACCGCTATCCGCCATGGAATTACTACAGCCGGCAGAAGTACCGCTTTTACTTTGGTTGATTTTTCAGCTCAGCTAACCGCTGGAAATTATCATACTTCGACAACAAATTCAAACTGCCAAACTGGAGCAACACGTTCTCTAGGCTTCGTACAATCAACTAAGTAGTAAAGAAAAGCTGATCGACGCCGACCATTCATTTTTGGCACGCCTCGGGTGCCCAGGGTTCAAAAATGGTGTGCTGTAGGGCTTAAATATTAGTGACAAAAGGTAAGTAACACAGCGTGAAGAAAAGAGCAGAAAAACCCACTCGAAATGCCCACATAGAACTCCATGCTAAACCGTGCTTATACGCGCTTGAGGCAAAGAGCGGGTGCGGTCGACGGAGTCCTCACTTTTTGGTGAGGGCTCTTTCTCGTTATCACCTCACTCTCACCATTCAAGATGGAGAAAACAAGCAGCGGAACAATCGCTTCATCAGGTAACAGTAAAAATGAAGGCTGGGCGTGCCGTGCTTTTCTCATTTATTCTTGAGCTGCAAAAGTAGGACTTTTTTCATGCTTGCGGACAGGACTATCATGTTCACTACCTTGCAGTAGTGTCTAATGTGGTCTGTCTGTTTAACTGTCCGATGAAAAAAGTGGTGAACTCGACCTGACACGTCGCGAATTAAAGACACATGGTACGCTCAAACACATTGAGGGTGTATGAGACTATCAGCCCCCCAGCTGTCGATGTGTCGTGGTCCCCCGCCCAAAACTGCACGGGGTCAGAGTACGGGGCCGTGGGAAAGTCGTAATTCCTTGCTACACCGCCCTCACGTTTATGCTAACACCATCCGCGCGGCGCGGTCGCGTGCAGCTCTCTTGGCTTTTTGCCAAGTCCTGTAATTGCGCTTTGGAATACAAGTACAACGCAATTTCTTTATGCGGATAACATTTTAGGTGCTGCAAAATAAGAACCGAAGATGATGACGAGGGCTAGAACTCAAGAGCAACTGTGCTGCTTCTGCAATATCCCTCAATATCCCTCGGAGGCCGCGCATTTCCACGAAAC